AAAAACAGGACTCTTGTTTGTGTGATAGCTATGCCTATGATATAGGACTTAGCCTATGTGTATAAAAACAGACACTCAATAAATTGCTATTTTTCATTTAAAATCATTTTGATGACATTTCTTCCCCACTATGTGTAATGGCAGTAAAACGAGAGAGAGCACTCAAAACTCATCAGATGATCGCATAATTTAGTGCAACATTAATATAGTAATATAGAATCATCCTCTGTAAAGAAATGAGGTTTGAACATTTGATAATTTATTATCTTTCTAAATGTGCGTTCTTTGGAGCTAAAGGCTTAATGGAGCTGTTTAAAGTAGCCATGTGATAAACCAATCGTCCAGACGCGATTCAATATGTGTGTCCTTCTTCTATGTGAAATAATCATAAATACTAGTTTATGCTGTTTGATTGTGGCCTCGAAGGGTCGTAGTTGTAAGCTGTAGCCCCGGCTAGCCCGTTTAGATCTTGCGTGCGCAGTGGAAATGCGGCTAATAATTTCTCAATTCTGACTGCCATATAACGAACAAATCAAACAAAGGTAAACGGGCAAAGGTGGGGCCCCCTACAATGTGGGGCCCATGGGCTGCAGCCCACTCAAGCCCAATGGTATATCCGGCCATGCGCGTAAGAGAACTTGGTTTAATACTCAAGTGATGTGCCGTTTGATAGTCGGCTTTCTGTGCTTCCACTTCATATGTGTGCGGTTAGAAAACCATGCATCAGGAGTTTAAACTGACAAGGCTTTAAAACACATGCAGTTGTTTTATTTGGTGTTGTAAAGACACAGCCCTCTTCTGGAAAAGGCAGAAACTGCTTATTAAAGTTATTAAAGTGATTGTGGCTACACCTCTCTTCTAACGCTATTAGGCCGCATTTAAACTCGGACAGATTGGATATTGCCCTGTTAATGCGAGTTAGATGTCAAATGTTTTTGAAACATCTCGAAGTACAGATATATCCATTACAAATGAAACATCTCTAGTTAACTAGCAGAGTATTAATTTTGTTTGTTTGCGTTAAATAAGGCGATCTGGCGCTGAAATGTGTTGCTTTTAAAATCATGCTGAGTGCTCGTTGCCACTGTTATCAGTGACGGTGGCTCGTGCACAGACGAGTGCTTTTATCTTTTGCTAACTGTTGTGGAGACTCCATTCATTCGGGTGAAATCTCATCTGCTTTTCTATATGTGGCAGGATGCATTGATTATATAGGAGGTTGAGCACTAGTTAATTAGTAAATTGGAGAAAGTCTTGTTAAAGTACTGGTATAAAAAGGGAAACATGTGCCACCCGGATGTGCGTCATCTAAGTGTTACCGGTTCTGTTTGCATGTGTATCGTGCCCGAGAGGTAAGAGCTGTAAGCTGCTAGGGATACGGTGGCTTGTGGCTGTTTATTTTGGATGACACGAACCTTATTTTTTATTTTAGTGGACTGAGGAAATGCAGGGCGTGTAATAAACAGGTGCCTTGTTCCTTAAGTGTGTAAATCCGTGTGGCGGTCGTCATTTACGGAGGTATGGCCTTTTAATTGTGGCACATTGTGTATGAGGTAAGTGTTTTGTTAGTAACTTTTTTTTGTTTCTCGTATGTGTTTGCAGGTTTTTCTTTCGATGCCTAGAGCACGTTATGGTGGGCTGACAGACTGCTGTAATTTCAATTCGCTGCTGGCATTGCTGCGGGTTGTGCGGAGTGCAGTGTGTCTGTGCTTGCGTGCACGTGTGGTGAATGTGGATTTTGTTGTGCTTAAACTCTCTTTATTCTAGATAGGAGAGTTTTGGGACCTATTCCTGAGAAGAGCTGGATGCCGATCCCCAAGCTGTGTATCGTTTGTAATGTGTATTGTCGTTTGTGAATTATTCTCATATATTATTTTTTGTTAGGGTTTGTGATGTACTGTGTAGTGCATCTTTGTGTTTTTATTATTGGTAAATAAACAAATCTTTTGTATAATTTGTGTCTCATACCTGACCCCACTGAACTGAACCTGTGAGCTTTATTCTTGTTAGAGTAATTCCCCTGTAATCAAACTTGGGGTGGCGTAGTCGGTCGTATTTGGGCTTTTAGTTCTGTTGCCCTTCTGCAATTCTCATCTGCCACATATACAAAGTATGCTTTATTAATAGTGTGTGCAGAGTTTGGTCTTTTAGGGTGTGTTCACACTTGTCATGTTTGGTTCGATTAAAACAAACTGGTGTGATTGCTCTCATTAGTGCGGTTCGTTTGAGTAAGTGTGAACGCTGCCACCCGAACCCTGGTGCGCACCAAACAAGCGGACCGAGACCGCTAAAAAGACGGGTCTCGGTCCGCTTCTAACTCTGGTGCAGTACGAATGAAATATGAAGGCAACATGGACCAAATACTTCTAAATGAACTAAAAACAGGAAGTAATGACAAGATGCGACATGATTTGACGACATGGAACGAGTGGTGTATCCAAAACAAAAGGAGCAGAGGGCAAACGTGGAGCAACAAGGAGGTAAAGTGCCTTTTATGAGCTCTTCGTGAATTCGCAAGTGGTGAAAAAAAATCATAAGTACACGCAGCGCGCAGTCCAGCAGACGGCATTAGGTGAGTTCGACAAAGCGGTGCAGAGCAGACCGATCGGTGAATGGGTACTTTGATGTCATACACCGATCGGTCCGCGCAGCGCCGCTTTAAGTTGAACACAGCTTTTGTTTGGGGTGTTCGGTGAGTTCCGCCACCAAATATATACGTCATTCAATCCGACCAATCAGGTTGTGAACGTATCATTATGCCTTTAGGTTCGGTATCTTTAGGTTCGCTGTTAAAAATGCCAGTGTGAACGCTAAGCAGACCAGGAACAAATATATCATTTTCCTTTTTGGTCCAGAGCAAACGAACCAAGAGAACCGAACTACAAGTGTGAACATACCCTTATTATCACTGTCTAATGCATTAGACACATAATTGAGCCACGTCAAGTTAAGCCTGTGTAATGTAAATGCAGATATCAGATATGGGTCACTTTTAATATATATATAGTCAAAAAATCAAATTTGGGCATCCAGATCTGCTGTGTAAATGCAGTCTTAGATGAGTGGTATAATCAGGTCTATATGCACATATACGCCATAAGCTAATGCTTTTCCAGGGCTATTTGACTTAGGATCAATATTTGCTTCAGAATTCCATAACCTCTCAACATCTTAAGCCCTGTTCCGACGGTAATTGTTTCTCACATCTGTAAAAATACATTTACATGGCACCTCATGGATTGCCAACTGTCCCGTATTATCCGGGACATTCCGCATTCTGGGCCTAATTGATTTGTCTCGTATGTGACCTCCCTTGTCCCGTTTATTGACTGCTACGCTGATCACGACACTTGAGAATGATCACCGACACCTGTCATCATCCAGTCACAGCACCCTCACACGCATGATTATTATGCGTCAAGTAAATCACATTCGTGAACATAACTGTTCAATAAAGGCTTAAGACAAAGCGCAATACTCTGTCGACTGGTCGCTCCCACTTCACAACGAGCGGGACTCACGCTAACGGCAATTTACCATCACCATCAGTGTTTTTTTTGTTTTGAGCTAATCTGTTTTGGTGAATGCAAACAACGTGATTATTTTTCACGACTCCAACATCCAGCCGCACAAGAAAACATGTAGGCTAATCTACCTGAGGGAAGACGTAATCAATAAGGGAAGTTGTCTTTCACTATTGTAATGTTAAATAGAGAAAAACATTTTACTTTTAAGTAACTTCTAACGTATTCTTAACCTTGGACCTTATTCTTGAAACACAAAATGGTGCCAAACACCAAAAGCAGCCCATATTAAATCTAATATGTTCTCTTTAATCAAAATATACACACACACAGTATCTCACAGAAGTGAGTACACCCCTCACATTTTTGTAAATATTTTATTATATCTTTTCATGTGACAACACTGAAGAAATTACACTTTGCTACAATGTTATACTAGCTGTACACTCACTACTTTACTTTGTAAATTTACTGTCCCCTCAAAATAACTCAACACAGCCATTAATGTCTAAACCGCTGGCCACAAAAGTTAATACACAAGTGAAAATGTCCAAATTGGGCCCAAAGTGTCAATATTTTGTGCGCCCACCATTATTTTCCAGCACTGCCTTAACCCTCTTGGGCATGGAGTTCACCAGAGCTTCACAGGTTGCCACTGGAGTCCTCTTCAGCCCCTTTTAAGGTGATTTTTGATTCTCTGATGTTTCTCAAATGTTGTGTCTAAAATTGATGTGAAATGCTGCCATTCTTTTACTCTCTCTCTCTTTTCCTTACTTTGTTTCATTCTGTATATATATATGTGTTTTGCTTAGTTATATGTTAGATATTAGTTTTCATTCATTCATAAAGCTTGCTGCAAAGCACTGGAAAAAAATAATGACTATGGATGTGTTGTAAAAATAGAAAGGAGATATTTTAATTTCTTTTTTTTTTTTAAGTGTTTTCTGAGTCGGTGTCGGCAGAAAAGGTGAAGTTGAGAGAAAATCACCTTTAATACAGATAAACCATATTGGAGAATGATACACTGCGATTACCTCAAGGACCAATCTGTTTTTAGCAATCTGTCCATCATTGACACTGACCTTTTATTTCTGCAACTAACCAATTAATAACATTTTACAATAACACGTTACTCAATCCTAGCAGTGGGCATTTACAATGAAGAATTAAATGAGACACGACTCTTTAAATGTAGTGTTTACATCAGAGCACTAAAATAAGAGTAGAAAACAGCCTGGAGAAAAAAATCCGCTGAACTCCGCTAAAGGGTTTGACGCTGAAATCCTTTAAAAAATAAAAGGGCATGACACATGGCAATGGCAAATAAATATGTAAAGGACAAAATAGTTCAGCTTTGAGAATGAAAACCAACCTGTTTGTTCCTCAGTATCTTCATGTTTGACTCTGACAGCTTCTTCACTTTCATCTTTATTAAACACCATCTCTGTTTGTTCCTCAGTATCTTCATGTTTGACTCTGAATGTTTCTTCATTCTTCATGTCTTCACTCTCCTCTTTAATAAACTCCATCTCTGTTTGTTCCTCAGTATCTTCATGTTTGACTCTGAATGTTTCTTCATTCTTCATGTCTTCATTCTCATCTTTAATAAACTCCATCTTTATAACAGTGTGTCACGTGGATCTCAGTTGCTTCACCGGGAGTTTTTCCTGTGTTTGGACACTTTGTCCTGTTTAAGACCAGAATAATTAGCAGAAAGAAAAATAAATGCAAACTAATTCTCTGGGTGCGTCTCAATCAGCTCCCTAGTTCAGTAGTCAGCGCACTAGTAAGGACTTAAATGACCTGGTTAGCTAAAAACACTCAAAAATAATGATAATAAACATGACTAAAAGAACAAAAGTCAACACTTGCTATTTAGTTTTGATTAATATTAGGTATTTAATGATTAGTATATTTCACGCTTTCAATTATATAGTTTGTAAAAGTTGTCATTACACATGTTTGTGTCTGTTTGTTTTGAGCAGATGAGATTCAGCGCGCGGGGATTCGAACGATTCAAAACAGTGAATCTTTTTCTGAAGCATTTGATTCAATTGACTCGGAGTTTCGAAAAGCTCAGTTTCTCTCATCACTGCTCGCCAGTGACTGATTCGTGTTTAGGATGAACTGATTCACTACATAGGGAGCGAAATGAGGCGCACCGTTTCTGTTACTAAATGCGCTTTATTTACACAAAATAACATCCATTAATGTTAGATAAGGTATTACAATGTAACATTCAATAATAGTTAATTAACTTTACATCGCTTGCAAAAACTATAAAGTATACTGAACGTGTTGTATCGATTTAAACGCTTTAGATGATTAAAAACACAAACCTTTTTTCAGCTGAAACTCAGACGCAGGAGCGCGGCGCAGCCTTGTGACCTCACGCCACCAGACCAAAATAAAAGTCCCGTTCACGCGCTGCAAGGCAAAACATGCATCTTTGATATGGAAGCTGACTAAACAAAATAAAACAACTAAATGAGTATTTATACTTTCATTTCCTTTTTGACATGAATTAATTGATACATTCTGTTATTTCCACGTTTATTCATTTTCACATGTGTTTATTTACTCAAATATTTCTGTCAGCATTTATTTCCACAATTATTTATTTCCACATGTATTTATTTATTATTCATGTATTTTTGTCAAGATTTGTATGTAATATTATGTTATAATAATAATAATATACTAATGTTTTTTTTTTTTCATTTGCTGGAGAAGCCTAATATGGGCATTTATGTAACTGTTGCATAGGTATTGTATTTATATTATTATATGATGTCTTATAGTATTAACCCAGTAATACTGTGAGTGTTAGGCTGGGGAACATGATGACCCCCTAAATATGAACACAAGATTAAATGTAACATAAAACAAATGATTATTTGTCGTTAAAAACCTTATTAATGGTAAAATATTTATGGGTCTCCTTGTTCGCTTGGGCAGCCATGTTGCTGCTGTAGCAATAAGGAGATTCAACCAACTCCAAGTTGAAACTTGAAGTCTGAGTTGACTTACCCGTTTTCGGGTTCAGAACAGCTGAATTGAGTTTTCGGGTTCAGAACAGTTAAATTGAGTTTTTGGGTTCAGAACAGTTAAATTGTGTTAGTTCAGTCGACTCTGAGTAGATTGACTCTGAGTTTAGCGCATGCACTACGACTATGAAAAGCCATGATCAATGGAGCTCCGAAATTATGATTCACCATGGCAACAGCACCAACAAAAAGACGTCTGCATACTTCCGAGTCAATACGTAACTGTCAGTAATTAACAAAGGTCCCTATAGATTCTCTTTGCCACCTGGAAAATTCTCAGTCCCTTAAAGTGTATAACGGCCGGGAAGCAAGAAAACATACATCAAATTGTATTCTCAATACTTCAACTTTATTCATAGATACAAAGATATTATATAGGCATATGTCGAGGGGAGTTTCAACCCTTTAACCAATGAGGATATAGATGACATACATATAGGATTTTGGCCAAGAATATGTGTTATATAAAATGGCCACATGTACAGGAAAATATGGACATATTAGGAATAAACTTGGCGAAGGATGCTGAACTATCTCCATAGTTCAGCACGAACCCCATTACCTTGGAGTCCTAGCTAGCGTGTCCTCATTTGAACCCAGAAAAGCTAATGCATACATGTGCGCATGTGTACCTCGAATATGAGTAAGAGATATTAAAACATAATACAAGAGAGAGAGAACAGATGGAGGAGGGGGGAATCAGAGAGAGACAACATTGCGCTGTACAGGGAGGGCGAGCAGAGAGGGAGAGAAGAAAAGGAGGGTGAAAACATCTGGAACCAATACAGACAGAGAGTGTTTTCTAACAGTAACTTTAATTCTTGATCACTGTTATAATAGCAGAGGTAAAAACTGGCTGAACGGTAAATTATTAAAAATTCAATCAGTTAATGCTTTAAGCATAACAGTTTCATGAGTGTAATCTACATGACTTTACAAACATTTGACATATTAAATAAATATCATTCAGTGTCTATTTCAGTGCGCAGCAGCTTTTTCCACAAAGTCTAATGCTCTTTTCACATAATTAAATGGTCTCTAATCCAAACTGTTGCATTTCTTAATTAGAGTAATTAAATTAACATTTGACTTCTACTCAGCCAACAGCAAGAAGGCTTGGAAAAATAATGAAGAACAGATGAAGAGGAATGGCCACAATACCAAGTATTGGAAGATTATTAAAATCCAACAAGAATAGGAATAATTGTTGCTTTTGTATTTGTAGGAAATAAAGATGTGCAAATAAATTTAACAGCTGTGGTGGTTACAGCATATATCTCCAACAACCCGTCCATCTGGCATCCTTCCGTTCCATACAGTAATCAGCTTCATTTTTCATGGGTTTGTGCTCATAAAACTACAAATATTATAAGAAAGAGCGTGAGAGCGAGACACACTTTCCTCACCGCTCTGCATGTACGGATGTGCTCTGCATCCCTGATGTTATAGAAAATTACCATTTAAAAATGGTACCGCTCAAATAAATATGCATGCGGATATGGCAAAAAAATCTAAATAATCCTCTCCCGATGTAATTATAACTCCATACGAATTATTGTAGCCTCCTCATCTACAAGATCCTGTATGAAAGGACATGCCGTTTTTGTTACTTTTACAGTGTCTACATGACGAAAAAATGTGCAATGAATGAATGTACCAGCACAGCAAAAATATGCTCTTCTTACTTAGTATTTTTGCCTTGTTGTAAAATATCTAAAGATTCTTAAATCAAGATGCATTTTCTACACAAGAAAAATTACATGAGGTATTTAGTCTTGTAAGTGTATTTTTCTTATTTTGCTAATTATCTGCCAATGGGGTAAGAAAAATAATTTTGTGTCCATTTGCATTAAGATTATTTTTCTTGTTTTAAGTAAAATGCACTTGTTTTAGATTCCAAAATACTCACTAAAAAATTCATTTTTGCAGCGTGAATGAATGAGGTATTTAAACATCGCTTACGCTTTAAAAAGGGGCAGGAGACCGAAATGAGTTTAATGAAGAAAACCTGCTCCTGACCAGGTTAGGTTCACAGAGTAAATTACTATGAAACAGGCTCGACTTACCCTGCTTTCTCGGGTTTGACAAACCTTCCATTCTGAAACCAAAAACCCAGTTTCCCTCATTTCAGGGTTAACATACTCAATAGTTTTCACTTTCTGAAACAGGCCTCTGGGTAGTCAGTGCTGATGTTGCAGTGCAGGTGCGCACAGATCACGAGCTGAATTTCCTCACCTGTCACTTGTTCCCGTTTCCTTTATATTCTCTGCTGTTTCTGCCCCTTTTTGTCAGTAGATCATATGTGTTTCGTATCATGTGTTTGTGGAACTGCTCTGTGTGTGATTTGCAGCTGATCGTTTTCCCTCGCTGTTCTCTTGGTCTCGACTCGTTCCCCATCCTGTGTGGGTCGCTGAATCTTGGGTGGTCTCCACAGCCTGTGTTGTCCGCTGGATACTGTACAAACAATTCTGGAGCTCCCACATTCGGTTCACGTGTGTCACTTACTTTGGAGGTTGTTTTTCCCTAAGCTTAATAAACTCTGTTCACAAATCCTCTGCATTTGAGTCCTATGTTCACACTTCCTTGACAGCCCTGACCCCTCAAACCAAAAGAGAATCGAGACACGCTACCCCTTCACGTGACAGAGGGATAGGGGTAAGGGGTACAAATGAGATTGGGGCTTCATATTCTAATCTTTTATGCTGTTATAATTACCCTTCAGTGGATGCTTTATGCCCCACTCCACGAAAGACATTTTCCACATGTGTGGGGGTGCCATAGATGGCACACGTATCACCATTATTGCTCCTTCAGTACAGCACCCTGACCTCCACATCTGTAAAGATTGGTACAGTGTGCTGCTTCAAGGCCTTGTAGACTGTAATTACAAATTCCTTGACTTCGATGTTAGCTGGCTGGGGAAATGCCAAAATGCATGTTCTGACTTCTCCCAAAAGCTTGAGAATGGAACATTCTTTCCAAAAATAACAAGAAAGATTAACGGGGTTGATATACCTGTTTGATATACCTGTTCTGTCATGTTTGCCCCATTGTATGACCTAGTTTTCCCTGTGTTGTCCTGTTTTTCACCAGCAATCTCTTTATTTATCCCAGGGGTCTCCAAACTTGGTCCTGGAATGCGGATATGGCAAAAAAATCTAAATAATCCTCTCCCGATGTAATTATAACTCCATACAAATTATTGTAGCCTCCTCATCTACAAGATCCTGTATGAAAGGACATGCCGTTTTTGTTACTTTTACAGTGTCTACATGACGAAAAAATGTGCAATGAATGAATGTACCAGCACAGCAAAAATATGCTCTTCTTAATTAGTATTTTTGCCTTGTTGTAAAATATCTAAAGATTCTTAAATCAAGATGCATTTTCTACACAAGAAAAATTACATGAGGTATTTAGTCTTGTAAGTGTATTTTTCTTATTTTGCTAATTATCTGCCAATGGGGTAAGAAAAATAATTTTGTGTCCATTTGCATTAAGATTATTTTTCTTGTTTTAAGTAAAATGCACTTATTTTAGATTCCAAAATACTCACTAAAAAATTCATTTTTGCAGCGTGAATGAATGAGGTATTTAAACATCGCTTACGCTTTAAAAAGGGGCAGGAGACCGAAATGAGTTTAATGAAGAAAACCGGCTCCTGACCAGGTTAGGTTCACAGAGTAAATTACTATGAAACAGGCTCGACTTACCCTGCTTTCTCGGGTTTGACAAACCTTCCATTCTGAAACCAAAAACCCAGTTTCCCTCATTTCAGGGTTAACATACTCAAGAGTTGTCACTTTCTGAAACAGGCCTCTGGGTAGTCAGTGCTGATGTTGCAGTGCAGGTGCGCACAGATCACGAGCTGAATTTCCTCACCTGTCACTTGTTCCCGTTTCCTTTATATTCTCTGCTGTTTCTGCCCCTTTTTGTCAGTAGATCATATGTGTTTCGTATCATGTGTTTGTGGAACTGCTCTGTGTGTGATTTGCAGCTGATCGTTTTCCCTCGCTGTTCTCTTGGTCTCGACTCGTTCCCCATCCTGTGTGGGTGCTGAATCTTGGGTGGTCTCCACAGCCTGTGTTGTCCGCTGGATACTGTACAAACAATTCTGGAGCTCCCACATTCGGTTCACGTGTGTCACTTACTTTGGAGGTTGTTTTTCCCAAAGCTTAATAAACTCTGTTCACAAATCCTCTGCATTTGAGTCCTATGTTCACACTTCCTTGACAACCCCGACCCCTCAAACCAAAAGAGAATCGAGACACGCTACCTCTTTACGTAACAGAGGGATAGGGGTAAGGGGTACAAATGAGATTGGGGCTTCATATTCTAATCTTTTATGCTGTTATAATTACCCTTCA